GGGGCGGCGGGGGGGGGGCGCAATCGGTGCTGGGAGCCCTCAGCTGATTGTGTCTGAGGAGGAGTGACTGATGAAGGGAATAGATTGAGTGCTGATTCAGTAAGAAGTGAAGTTTGTCGTTTTTTAAATATACCTTTTACTAGTGTGGAAGTCAAAGAAGAGGTTTTGAAAAATAAGAAATAGATAAAAGCTGCACAGTCTAATGCAAAATATATGATGTAGGATGTAGACTGTTGATTGTTTATGTCATGATTATGAGGGTTAGCCAGCAGCCTGGGGATTAAGGGGTTAACTACACCTAGCCAGGTGGACTGACCAATAGGAATGTAGGTGGGACTTTCAAACTGGGACAAAGGAATTTGGTTTTTTTTCCTTTCTCCCTTTTGTCTCTGAGGGAGTTCTCTGCAGATACAGAGAGGGACAAGCATGCCTCTCTCTCTCTCCAAGACACCATTCTTCATTTTCTGTAAGTAGGGTAAAGTTTAGGTAGTTTCGTTAGGTTTTATTGTTTTAAGGATTGGGTATGGGATCTGAGATCTGGCCCTGCTTAAAAGATGTTTTGGCTTTTCTTTGTAACTAAGTTCTAGGCCCATGGAGTTTCTCCATGAGTATATTTTGTTACCCTGCTATCTAGTCATTATGTTTGCAACAGGAATATTGTTGTAATAATAAAAGTTCTTTCTTTTCTTTTTATTAACCTGGCAGTGGTTAATAGTGTGCCCTGATTTTTATTTTAGGGGGAAGATTTCCCAAATGATCTTTCCCCTGGTTTCGTTAGCAACATTTGGATGGTGGCAGCGGAAGTTTTATTCCCAAGATCTAGGGTTTTAAGATCTTGGGGGGAAATTTTATACCAAAGCCTGGTAGATAAGGCTTTGGGGTACCCTTGCTGGCCCCCACTTCTGCATTTATCATGCCAGAGTGGGGAAGGAGCCATGACAGTTTATAATAAAGTTAAGTATTAAACATAGGATGTGTGTTTGGTGTGGGTGTTTTTTTTTTCTCCATAGATTTTTAGCCCATGTGTTCAGTATTTTTGGGAGACCATCTGGCAACCCTACTCATGGTTTTTGATATTGCCTCTCTTATCAAAGTAGCAGTCTGATTTGTTACCCCCCCCCGCCCCAAAAGGAAAAAATCCAGAACCCATTGGCATTTTGCGGAATTTGGCTGTCCAAAATATCAGCCACAGCTTGGCCTGTAACAAGATTTTGAACCTTATAACGCGTTGAGATACCTTTAGGGTTAAATGCCAGAAGACAAGCAGCACTAGTTATCTGTGTCTGGCAAAAGCTGTTTTGTCAGTTTGCAACTTCAAACGAAAGGGCATTATCCAAACCAAAACCAAACCAATTTATTTAAAACCTACAAAACAGATTTACAAACCTATCATGCCTAGATTGCATTTTCTTTTATGCATTTGACCAGTTAAGTTTGAATAGAACCCCTTACTTCCCTTTGAGCAGACTTAACAAAAGCATCCACAACCAACTATTTAAATCAGAAGACTTTTTGCCTGGATTATTTACACATTCCTCAGGAAAGAGGTTACAAAGAAACAAAGGAGATTTTTCCTTTCCTATAACACTTTTCCTACTTGCATTTTTTATAACATTTGCTCGATTACTTCCACACTCCACAGAGTAAATTTTTCACTTTTCTCCTTAATTATTTGCTCATTCTTCAACTGAAAACTTCATTAGTTTAAATATCGCCATTCCAAGTAATTTTCCAAGAATTTAAATTTTCAATGCCTGTACTTACTGAACTCTTGTCCTTCTTATTCCTGCCACAATACCCCCTTAGGACTTTAAAGTTTTTTGTTTTCCACTATCACTTATTTGCTTTTTAATTCTTTGTGCCTGATCCCACTTTCTGTGCTGAATGGTCCCTTTCCATGGACACACTTTTTTGTCTCTTACTAATTCAGCAAGACGGGTGGGCTCCTTAATTAGCCCCAACACCTTCTGGTTCCTTTCATTGGGCAAATCCAAATGTTTATTTCTGCAGTCAGCCAATAATCATTTGCAAGCTTCTCAGCACAGTTTTTCATAACAGCCAGATTGCAACAGTATCTCTTTTGACTGGGATTAAGGGTTTGTAAATCAGTAAATATTTCACCAATTTGCTTTTAAGGTCTGCACGGTATAAACATACACTAAAACACTGTGAGACCATGTGCTGTGCTTATACTTTTGCTACATTTTATTCCAAAGATACACTTTACCTCTTCTCCTTTTGATGAGGTTTTTTTCTGATTTTTTTGCACCAATGTGCCCAGTTTGTATTTACTAGCAAGTTTTAGTCTTATTTGTCATGTACCCTTAAGACAATATACGAGGGAAGAACGGAAACACCAACCTTCGTTCTTTTGGGCTTGCCCCTCATATAATTGTGGTTGCAATGCAGAAAACCCCATTTCATCTTTTACATTTTCCAGCGCCACCTTTTCTATTCCTGTGCCCACTCTTCTGGCCCTGTGAAAGTGCTGGCAGCCTGGTGTTTAACAACAGGGGACGGCGCTTCCTTCTTTTCCAGGTTTTCAACAGCCTTTTCCAATTTCTTATTTTCCTGCTGTACTTGTTCGAGCAAATCATATGGACAGCCTGTTCCTCTGCCAGCAGAGCAGCTTTCCAGTGCTTGAGAGCCTGTGTTGCTTTCTCTATTTTTTCCCCCGTTTATTTGGGAAGTGAGTGGAGTAGAATGCTGTGTAAGCCACCTTATATTAATTGCAAAATTCTAGCTTTTTTATTTTTATTCTCCTTCCTTCCCAAATTTCCTCTGGATCTCCTTTTCACTCAGGAATATTGTCCCACTCCCTGGAAGCAACTGCCCCCACTTGCCTAGTGGGGAATCCTAACTTTTGCCGTAGGTTCTCAATAATTAAATCACAACGGATATGATCTAGAGAGGCTGTACCTCGCTTCAGGGTTAATCTTTTTATTATATCCTGTAATACTTGATTCTCTTTTTTTAAGTTTCCCCCTCACTTCCTCCAATTGTCCTACAGCTACACTCAAATGACTCTTTTCTATCTCAAGCTCTTGCTTATATGCTCCCAAATTGACCTTCAGTTGTTTGGCTCACACTTAATTGCGCTGTGAATACTTAAATCCTTCCTTTGCTGCAGCATAGAGAAGTGAAACTGCTGCTGCCAAACCAGCCTTCTGCCCTGGTTTCTACATTTGTTCTTACTAAAGGTATCCTCCAGGTGAAAAGTATCCTCCGGATCTTCAAATTTAGATATGACCTTCATCAATTCAGGACGAGCGGCCCATGGCAATGATCCGGCCTTTAAGAGCTACTTTTCCCAACCCGATGGGGCTGACACTAATTTAACTACTGCCACAAAATCCATCTCTTCCCTCTGCTCCCCTCTTCCTTTTTTACAAAACATTATCACCCTCTATTCTCCCACTCCTCTTGGTTCTTAAGATCTCGTCACCCCTCGGTGGACCCAAGACCTTACCAGTGTGTAGACGAGAGGGGGCAGCTTCCCTCCTACGCTTTCCTAGGATAAAAAAGAAGCAGCACAGGCCTCAACACCCTAGTGTCCCAAGACCCCTCCAGTGTATAGCCAAGAAGACTGTCCTTCTCCTATGCTTTCCTGAGGTATATTTTACTTGACTCAGGGTATTTCCTTCAGGCAGACAGCCTCCTCCCCACTCTCCCCCCCGGTAGCTAACAAGTATCACTTTAACAACCTATTACTTTAACAGCAAATTCTTTCACATGCCAGTACTTAAACGGTGGATTCATTTATCTGTCGCCCGCATTCTCCACCATCTGTCACAAGGGATCGCTGTTCTACGGTTGATCAGGCCACTCAACAAGGCATGTGATCTACATCACAGAAGAACAAACCCACAGTAGCCCAAATATACGTTTAACAAGTTTTATTGTCAGCAACTCCAGAGCAATTCAGAAGCAATATATATATATATATATTAGTAATAAGTAATTTAAAAGCTTTAAAAGCAATGCTTAAATTGAATGATTAACAGTCTAATTCTTAACTCAATTTTGCAGCCTAATTCTTAACCCAGTTGTGCACACAGTCTCATAAACACATTCACACCTCCCACTGACCTTCTGGGGCTGGCCAAGCCAGAGGTAATGTTGATTAATTTGCTTGAGGCAGAAGTCCGACATGCACGTCACCCCAATATACCGAATTGATGGACTCCCCTCCGTGTGTCAGAATGGTGTGGTATATATCCCTTTGGCAAGGGACACTTCGAGTGGGGGTGCTGTCCGATGATCTCACCACCTGCGGGTGTGTAGAATTGGGTGTTGTAAGCAGAATGTTCCAAGATTGGTCGTAAGCACATCCCTTTTGAAAGAGGGATGTAAATTAGGCAGATCGAAAGTGCAAATGAAGCATGGATTTAAATATCCCATGCTTCATTTGCATATTCATGTCTGATTGCTGTTTCAAAAAAGGGCATTTTGAAAGTGAAACTGCAATCTAGACACGGTTCTTTCGAAAAAAAACCACAACCCTTTTTCAAAAGATCTCGTACTAATTTTTTCAGGAGTTTGGGATCTTTCGAAAAAGGGTGGGTTTTTTTTGAAAGAACTGTGTCTAGACTGCGGTTTCACTTTTGAAATGCCCTTTTTCGAAACAGCAATCAGATGTAAATATGCAAATGAAGCACAGGATATTTAAATACATTTGCACTTTTGATAGGCCTAATTTACATCCCTCTTTCGAAAGAGGGATGTAGTTTAGACACAGCTCAGGAAGGCGGTGAAGTACTGGAATTGGTTACCTAAGGAGGTGGTGGAATCTCCATCCCTAGAGGTTTTTAAGTCTCCAATTGACAAAGCCCTGGCTGGGTTGATTTAGTTGGGATTGGTCCTGCCTTGGGCAGGGGATGGACTTGATGACCTCTAGAAGTCTCTTCCAGCTCTGGGATTCTACGATTCTATGACTTTTACTCAGTTACATTTTTTTCCAAGTAGCAGTACTTTTACTTATGTAACTTATTTTGGTACTTTTTGCACCACTAGCAATAGCAGAGAGGAAATGATTCTGCCCCGCCTGGAAAGGAAACACCCTCGATCCCTAAGAATGGGAAATGTGGTGTCATGTGACCATTTCCCCGGGAGAGCGTGATGATGGCCCCTATAAACTTCCCCAGTGGCAAGAAGCGGAACAGAGCCCTCTGCAGCCATGGAGTCGGACAGCTCCTACCGCAAATGGGACAGCGCCGAGGAGGTGGAACTGAGCCTGCCGGAAGCGAGTGGTGCCAGGAGAGGACGGAAAGGTGAGTTGGGGTGAGGTGGGGTGGCCTTGTGGGTAGGGTGAGGAGCTGCCCGGGGAGGCAGGAGGCCCGTGTCCGACTCCTGGCTTTGCTAATTAGAGGTTGGCCAGAAGCAGGGGGGTTTCTCTCTCTCTCCTTCCCAGTTAGCTCTTGGTTAAGGCTGGATATTCCCATCATCCTTTGCTCTTCCAGGGCATACCCCTTGCTGGGTGATGGCAGTACCTTGGGTGTTGCTATTTGGGGCATGACACTAGCCTTGTGAGCCTGCCCCCATCTTCCTCCTGCACCGTAAGTCAGGGGCATCTCAGTCTGGGGTCACAACAACCCCAGCCAGTGTTTGGGGGTCACGCTCAGCTGCCCCTCCCCAGGGGAGGGGGGTTCCCAGTGTGAAATGGAGCACGGGGCGCTGAGAACCGCCGCCAGGCATTTACCCTACAGTGAATCTCTCCCTCCCTCTGCCCCATCGGTAACCATGTTTCAGGCCTGGTGACCCCCAGACCCTGGGAATGGGGGGAGGGTTTGATCCGGCATGGAGGGGTCTCACCCATGTTGCTCTCCACAGCTCTTTGCCTCCCCGAGTCCACCCAAGGCAAGGCCATTGCGATCCTGTACGTGCTGCTGATGCTCTGCTTTGTGGTGTTCACCGCGCTCGTTGCGGTGCGGCTCGGGAACCGTGAGTCTCCTCTGCCTTTCTGCCCTGGCCTCTGCTCTCCCCGTTACTGCCGGGAAGGCGGTGGCTCTGCCCGGGGCTTGGGGGATTTCAGCCGCGGGGCACAAACCTGGGCTGAGATCAGAGGCTCAGCTGCGACTTGAATTATGGAGCAGGGTCGTGGCTGGGTCACTGTCGCTCAGCTTTGCATTAAGGGACCCAGCTGGATCTAAGGGCGGAGAGTTGCCTGAACCCTCTTCCACCGCCCGGCTTTCCATTGTGCTTGTGCACGGAAACCTCCGACAAATCCCACCCAAAGACCATGGCTGGGCCATGAAGTTGTGAAATGGAAACAGTGCAACGGGCAGGCTGAAGATGCCTCTCGGGGGGGGAGGGGTCCTCTGGAAGTCAGAGGGGGGAGCGGGTCCTGCACACGCGCACTGCCACCATTGCACCTTACCACAAGGAGAGCTTTCCCCAGACACACACGTTCCTTTCCTTTGGCATCCTGCAGCCCGCTAACCACGCACAAACGGAGCCCGGCTCCTGGGGCAGCAGGCAGCTGTGTGCTCTGCACAGCATTCGGAGCCAGCGTTCCCTCGAATCTCTTCCATCCATGTGCAGAATAAATGCTTTGTGCACTGAGGCATGTGTGAATGTGCACTACCTGGAGCAACACAAAAACCTAGCAGGGCAGGAGGGATCTGCTAAGCAGCTGGGCATTAGAATCTCTCCTGCCCAGCTGCACAATCACCCAGCTGCCCGAGGACACGGCGCAGAGCCCTGCACGGCTGCGGGAAGGCTGAGCCGTCTGATTCTCAGCTTTGCATGCCCCGTGACTGTGTGTGGCAGTAGCAGTGGCACCGCACTTCCTGGGGCTACTGGCAGCCCAGTGTAACATAGAGCAGCCCCAATGCAACTCTGCTCTGTACCTAGGGCAGAGCTGGTGCCCAGAATCATGAATCCCTGCGCTGACACCAGGACAAATGAAACCGGGGATCACAGCCAGTGTGGGCTAATGGCACCAGGAGCCTGGGGCAGTAACAGGGAGTTCTGTGCACGTCACAGCACACTGACGCCCCTAGAGATATGGGTTTCCCCGGTTCTTTAATTTAACTCTACCAAGAGGTCTCCTGTCTACAGTGTCTCAGGGTCTTGAGGACGCCCAGCTGGATCGAGAAACGATCAGAAGAGATGCCAAGAGAAATCTGTCAGATCTCCAGCACGACCTAGGTGGGCGGATCCAGGAAACATTTCTGTTCCTTGCCTGATATGGCAGACCGTTTTGGGTTCTTACACCTCCAGGGATGGGCGAACTGGGCCCTCGGGCTCAGTTGTGTGGTTGCTGGAAGTCGGTGTTGCTCCTGGGACTTCAGGGGAGCTGAGCAGACACAGCTCTACGGGTCTGAGCCCACCTGGAACAGGGTCTGTGTCAGGAGGGGGTCAAAGGCAGGAGCTGTTCGCTGCTCTTAGAACTTCTTGTCCTGTTCCTAGGATCACTGATTGTCCAATGAGATTTTGCTCTGATGAGGTCACCATTCTGCCAGTGTCTCATTGGCCGAGTGTTACCCAGCTGTGGGAGGCTTGGTGCAGGTGCACTTGGCCTGTCCCAGGAGTAGTCAGGTGTCTGGGTCCCCCATAAGCAGCTACTGCTTTAGAGAGGGGACCAAGACCTGTCTCCCCCAGGACAGACCCAGCCCAAATGAAGCAAGGAAGCAGGAATCTGGAAGAGGGTGAAATGTGGTGGGTTGCCAATCACCCAGCAGTCACCCCTGCTAACCCACTGAGGGGTAAGACCATTGCAGAGGGGCAGGGCAAAGAGGAGCCCCCATGCTGGGGGTGTCGGATGCCCCTGGATTGCCTCAATGCAATCCTGGGTCTGACTCGTTGTTTCCACCCCACACCCCCTGCCCGGGGTCTCTCTCAATAAACGCTGCTGTTCACTTGCTGATTTGCCCCCAGGACTCTGAATGCAGCAGTGAGCCTGGGCCCAGCTGGACTGGCTGGGTGCCGCCTGTCACCTGTGCTGAGCAGGTCCCTGTACCAGTGGGCTCATGGGCAGCTCCTGCTGCTCCAAAGGGCATTTGCACTGCAGCTGAGTTGAGGGTGGCTGGTGTTGACGCTACTGCGAGGGCCGGATCTCAGGATTTCTGGCTGCTGACTCCCAGTGTGTTCTTGAAGGAGTTGGAGCATCTCTCTGGGCCTCAGTTTCTCTATCTATGAAAAGGGGAACAGTTCTGGTTATTGTGCAAGCGAGCAATTCAGCTCAGGGAGAGTCTTTTTAAAAGACGACTGGGACTTTTCAGCTTAGAAAAGAGGAGACTATGGGGGGATAGGATAGAGATTTTTTAAAATCAAGGCTGGTATGGAAAAAGTGAATAAGGAAAAGTCATTTACTTGTTCCAATAACAGAATTGGGGGTCACCAAATGAAATTAATGGGTTGTGTTTTCTTCACACAACACACAGTCAACCAGTGGAACTCCTTGCCAGAGGATGTTGTGCAGACCAGGATGTTAACAGGGTTCAAAAAGAGCTAGATACATTCATGGAGGACAGGTCCATCAATGACTACTCGCCAGGAATGGGGGCCTTAATCTCTGTTTGTTAGAGGCTGGGAATGGGCAACGGGATGGATCACTTGGTGATTCTCTGTTCTGTTTATTCCCTCTGGGGCACCTGGCATTGGCCACTGTCAGTAGCCAGGACACTGGGCTAGATGGACCTTTGGTCTGTCCCAGTCTGGCCGTTCTTATGTTCTCGTCTCGTATCTGTGCCGTGCCCAGGACAACAGGGTCCTGATCTCAGTTGGGGTCTGTGAACACCTGGAACACGGGGCCTCAGTCTCAGGCTTCTAGGCAATAAGAAGAAGTGAAACCCATTTACAGCCTTACCAAATGCTCCCTGGAAGGAGGATGCTGCTGCTGCATCTGGTACCAAAGGGCTTTCCTTGTGCTCCTGGCGCCCCCTGCAGGTGATGAGGGTAGGTTCACACAGTCACTCACTAGAGACTTCTGCTACATTCCTTGGGCTTCATCCTGCCTGGTCTCTTTACCTGTGTCTGTCCTTAGGGCTACAGCTCTCTGCTCCTCGGTTGGGCAAATGCAGCCTTTTGATCTCCTTTGGCCAGAGCACAGGTCTGTGCCTCCCCATTCGGGCCCCAGCCAGGCACTGACTCCCTCCATCCCTGCCAGCTCTGCTGGGCACCGATTGGCTGCTTCTGTGTATCCTTTCTAGGCAGGCCTCCAGGAGCCATCTTCCTTGCTCCTTCCTGGGGCTGGGGTCAGGGGCACCATTTAGGTAGGGCAGGAGGCTCTAGCCCCCCTCCCCCAAGTTCAACCCCCTCTGAATTTTGAATTTGAAGTCTGCTTAAAACTTAAAACTTCAACAGAGCTAGTGAGGCTTCTATCTTTGCCCTTAGAGCCGCCAGTTTATTTATAAGCCGAGGAAGGCAGGGTGACTCAGGGTACGTCTACACTACAGCGCTAGTTCGAACTAACTTAGTTCGAATTAGTTAATTCGAACTAAGCTAGTTCGAACTAACGCATCTAGAACTAAAAACTAGTTCGAACTAGCGTTTTGCTAGTTCGAACTAGTAAGTCCACATTGAGTGGACTCTGAACAGGGCTTAATGATGGCCGGAAGCAGTGCCGGCAGGGCATAAAAGGAGGACTTAGAGCATGGAGATACTGTCTCAGGCTAGCCGAGGGCTGCGCTTAAAGGGTCCCGACCCCCACCCCGGACACACAGTTCTAAGGGGTGCCCCGCTTGCAAAGAAGTTCTGGCTTGGAGTGCCCTGAGTGCCCACACTGGGCACATCACACCACGCGGCCATCAGCCCGGCTGCCCTTGCCGCAGGCTGCCATCTGGGGAGAGGGAGTAATTGGGGGGCTGCAGGAGAGCTTCCACCCCCAGAAGCCCGCAGAGCCAGCCCAGTCCTCCCCATCGGGGGCTCGTACCCCATTCCTCCCTCCCCTCCTTCCACTTGCCCTTCCCTAGCCCCCCTTCTTATTGATGTACAAAATAAAGATAACGTTTCTTCCAACATTGACTCTGTCTTTATTGAACAAAACTGGGGGAGACTGGGAAAAGGAGGTGGGAGAGGGGAAGAAAAAGGCTGGGAGAGGGGAGGGCAACTAACATGATCAGGGGTTGGGAACAGGTCCCAGATGAAGAGAGGCTACAGAGACTGGGACTGTTCAGCTTAGAAAAGAGGAGACGGAGGGGGGACAGGATAGAGGTCTCTAAAAGCAGGGGTTGGGTGGAGAGGGTGCATTCAGAAAAGTTCTTCATGAGTTCCCATAAAGAAGGACTAGAGGACACCAAAGGAAAGGACTGGGTAGCAGGCGTGAAATTAGTAAGAGAAAGTTGTTGTTCTTGACAAAGCAAATAGTTAACCTGTGGAACTCCTTGCTGCAGGAGGCTGTGAAGGCTAGAACTAGAACAGAGTTGAAAGGGAAGTGAGATCAAGTGATGGAGGTTGGGTCCATGGAGTCCTATTAGCCAGAGGGTAGGAGGGGTGTCCCTGCCCAAAGTTTGTGGAAGGCTGGAGAGGGATGGCACGAGACAAATGGCTTGGTCAGTGTCTTCGGTCCATCCCCTCCAGGGTCCCTAGGGTTGGCCGCTGTTGGCAGACAGGCTACTGGGCTAGATGGACCTTTGGTCTGACCCAGGACGGCCATTGTAAGCTCAGGGCTCAGTGTCGGGGGGCTCAGTGGACCCCCTTGATTTTCATGCACACCTGGTCCTGGGTGGCCAGGCTGGCAGCTCTCCTGCCCTAGCCGGCCACTTTCCTGTGCCTAGTGCGGAGATCGTGGACGAGGTCCACGATGTCCGCACTAGCCCAGGAAGGTGCCCGCCTCTTGCGGTCCAGGGCAAGCTCCCGGGAGCCGCCAGCCTGGTCCCGGCAAGAGGGGGCGGGCTGGGGGGCATCGGGTGGGTGGCTCTGTGCCGTGCCAGGGGCAGGGTCTGCTAGCTGGGTGCTGGCAGGCTTGCACCTGGCACGGGCACCGTAGCCAGCCCGAGCCCCTTTAAGGGGTCCGGGGCCGGGAGGGGGGCATAGAGTTTCCCTGGTGTTGGCCAGAGTGGCCACCAGGGAAACCTGGGGAGGGCTAGCCTCCCACTAGCTCGAACTAAAGGGCTACACAGCCCTTAGTTCGAACTAGCTAGTTCGAACTAGGTAAACCTCATTTTACGAGGACTAACGCCTAGTTCGAACTAGCTAGTTCGAACTAGGCGTTAGTCCTCGTAAAATGAGGTTTACCTAGTTCGAACTAACTTTCTAGTGTAGACATACCCTCACTCTCTCCAGCCTCAAGATTTATTCCTGCCTTTTGTTGCCGATCTTCTAACTGGAGAACCTGGCAAAATTTTCATGATCATCTAATGACCCTTCAATTAATTGAACGACAAGTCTTTTACTATCTGAGGGTATGTCTACACTAGAAAGTTAGTTCGAACTAGGTAAACCTCATTTTACGAGGACTAACGCCTAGTTCGAACTAGCTAGTTCGAACTAGGTAAACCTCATTTTACGAGGACTAACGCCTAGTTCGAACTAGCTAGTTCGAACTAGGTAAACCTCATTTTACGAGGACTAACGCCTAGTTCGAACTAGCTAGTTCGAACTAGGTAAACCTCATTTTACGAGGACTAACGCCTAGTTCGAACTAGCTAGTTCGAACTAGGTAAACCTCATTTTACGAGGACTAACGCCTAGTTCGAACTAGCTAGTTCGAACTAGGTAAACCTCATTTTACGAGGACTAACGCCTAGTTCGAACTAGCTAGTTCGAACTAGGTAAACCTCATTTTACGAGGACTAACGCCTAGTTCGAACTAGCTAGTTCGAACTAGGTAAACCTCATTTTACGAGGACTAACGCCTAGTTCGAACTAGCTAGTTCGAACTAGGTAAACCTCATTTTACGAGGACTAACGCCTAGTTCGAACTAGCTAGTTCGAACTAGGTAAACCTCATTTTACGAGGACTAACGCCTAGTTCGAACTAGCTAGTTCGAACTAGGTAAACCTCATTTTACGAGGACTAACGCCTAGTTCGAACTAGCTAGTTCGAACTAGGTAAACCTCATTTTACGAGGACTAACGCCTAGTTCGAACTAGCTAGTTCGAACTAGGTAAACCTCATTTTACGAGGACTAACGCCTAGTTCGAACTAGCTAGTTCGAACTAGGTAAACCTCATTTTACGAGGACTAACGCCTAGTTCGAACTAGCTAGTTCGAACTAGGTAAACCTCATTTTACGAGGACTAACGCCTAGTTCGAACTAGCTAGTTCGAACTAGGTAAACCTCATTTTACGAGGACTAACGCCTAGTTCGAACTAGCTAGTTCGAACTAGGTAAACCTCATTTTACGAGGACTAACGCCTAGTTCGAACTAGCTAGTTCGAACTAGGTAAACCTCATTTTACGAGGACTAACGCCTAGTTCGAACTAGCTAGTTCGAACTAGGTAAACCTCATTTTACGAGGACTAACGCCTAGTTCGAACTAGCTAGTTCGAACTAGGTAAACCTCATTTTACGAGGACTAACGCCTAGTTCGAACTAGCTAGTTCGAACTAGGTAAACCTCATTTTACGAGGACTAACGCCTAGTTCGAACTAGCTAGTTCGAACTAGGTAAACCTCATTTTACGAGGACTAACGCCTAGTTCGAACTAGCTAGTTCGAACTAGGTAAACCTCATTTTACGAGGACTAACGCCTAGTTCGAACTAGCTAGTTCGAACTAGGTAAACCTCATTTTACGAGGACTAACGCCTAGTTCGAACTAGCTAGTTCGAACTAGGTAAACCTCATTTTACGAGGACTAACGCCTAGTTCGAACTAGCTAGTTCGAACTAGGTAAACCTCATTTTACGAGGACTAACGCCTAGTTCGAACTAGCTAGTTCGAACTAGGTAAACCTCATTTTACGAGGACTAACGCCTAGTTCGAACTAGCTAGTTCGAACTAGGTAAACCTCATTTTACGAGGACTAACGCCTAGTTCGAACTAGCTAGTTCGAACTAGGTAAACCTCATTTTACGAGGACTAACGCCTAGTTCGAACTAGCTAGTTCGAACTAGGTAAACCTCATTTTACGAGGACTAACGCCTAGTTCGAACTAGCTAGTTCGAACTAGGTAAACCTCATTTTACGAGGACTAACGCCTAGTTCGAACTAGCTAGTTCGAACTAGGCGTTAGTCCTCGTAAAATGAGGTTTACCTAGTTCGAACTAAGCGCTCCGCTAGTTCGATTCAAATTCGAACTAGCGAAGCGCTAGTGTAGCGCATAGGAAAGTTAGTTCGAACTAGCGCTGTAGTGTAGACGTACCCTTAGAGTGGTGTGCCCCAGGGGTCTGTTCTGGGACCACGGCTGGGCAACTTACTTATAAGTGATCTGGATAAAGGGGTAAACTGTGAAAAGGCAACATTTTCTGCTGATACAAAATTACCCAACACAGTTAAGTCCAGACCTGACTGCAAATAGTTACAAGGGGACCTCACAAAATTGGATGGTTGGGCAACTCAAGGACAGATGGAATTCAATGTGGATAATGCCCAGGGAACTGCACTTGATGATCTCACAAAGTTCCTTCCAGTTCTAGCCTCCTATGACTCTACAAAATGCAAAATAATACACATTGAAAAATAGAGTCCCAACTCTACATAGAAACTGATGGGGCCTAAATTAGCTATTACCACTCAAGCAGGATCTTGGAATCATTGTGGCTAGCTCGCTGACCACATCAGCTCAATCAAAGATGCTAACAGGAAACTGGGAACCATGAGGAAAGGAATAGCTAACAAGACAGAGACTATCATGCTGTCTCTGTAGAAATTCACGGTATGCTCATATCTCGAAGGCTGTGTGCTGACGTGGCTGCCCCAGCTAAAAAAAGATATGCTGGATTTGGAAAAGGTACAGAGAAGGGCAACAGCTTCCCTCTGAGGAGGGCTTAAAAAGATTGGGGCTTTTCAGCTTGAACAAGTGGCAACAACAGGGGGATATGTCAGAGGTCTATACAGTCATTAGTAGTGTGGAAAAACTCAGTGGCTATGTCTAGACTGGCATGATTTTCCAGAAATGCTTTTAACAGAAAAGTTTTCAGTTAAAATCATTTTTGGAAAAGAGCATCTAGATTGGCAGGACTCTTTTCCGCAAAAGCACTTTTTGATTTTTGGTTTTTGATCTGAGGAAGTGGGTCTGGCCCACGAAAGCTCATCATCTAATAAACCATCTTGTTAGTCTTTAAAGTGCTACATAGTCCTGCATTTGGCCAATCTAGACGCGCTTTTGCGCAAAAAAGCCCCAATTGCCATTTTTGCGATCGGAGCTTTTTTGCGCAAAACAAATCTCAGCTGTCTACACTGGCCCTTTTACGCAAAAGGGACTTTTGCCCGAACGGGAGCAGCATAGTATTTCCACAAAAAGCACTGATTTCTCACAGTAGGAAGTCAGTGCTTTTGTGGAAATTCAAGCGGCTAGTGTAGACAGCTGACAAGTTTTTCTGGAAAAGCGGCTGATTTTCCGGAAAAACTGGCCAGTCTAGACACAGCCAGTAAGAAAATTTTATTTCCTCCTTCACATGACACAGGAAGGCCACCTGAAGAAATGTAGAGGCAGCAGGTTTAAATCAAAGAGAAGTTATTGCATTAAAGTCAGCCTGTGGAGCCCTTTGCCAGGGGTCGGGGTGAAGGCCCAAACTGCTAAAAGGTTCCAATAAGAAGTTCATGGAGGGTGGGTTCATCAGTGGCTACTAGCCAGGATGGGCAGGGATGGGTCCCTGCCTCTGTCAGAAACTGGGGATGGGCGACAGGCGATAGGTCACCTGGTGACCCCCTGTTGTGCTCCCTCCCTCTGGGGAACCCGGCATTGGCCGCTGTCAGGAGACGGGACCCTGGGCGAGATGGATGCTCGGTTCTGCCCAGTGTGGCCGTTCTTACATAGAACCCAGAGGCAGCTGCCTT